GGGGGAGGCGAGTAGGATCGTCAGGACAAAGAAAGCGAACATCATCATCCCCATTAAGAAACTGTGAGAGATGTGATCCATTAAGGGTACATGGAGTGGGATGATCCGGAGTAAGAGTGGGATGGCGGGCATTAAAGTCGCCAAGAACAATAGTGGGAACCCCATCATGGAGGTCGTGAAGAACCTGGGGGTCCAGAGAATCACTCTTGAAATGAACATTGACTACACGAAGGGTCCGGTCACCAAGAGTAAGGGAGACAGAAAGTAATTCAGACGGGGGTCCATGTGAGTCAGGTGAAGGGAGACGAACAGATGGAATGGTGTTACGCACAAGGGTGAGGAGGCCACGAGCCTGCCCACGGTACCGAGGCAGGGTGTAAACAGAATAGCCAGAGAGGCGGAGTGGAGTAACATCGTCTGTGATGGTTTCCTGAAGTAGAGCAACATCTACTTGATGGGAGAGCACAAACTGGGCGAGGTCTGTCCGGCGAGGTCTAAGTCCCTGGATGTTCCATTGTAAGAAGAGGAGGGAACGGCCTCCGGTGTGAGATGAGTCGGAGGGGCTAGACAGGGCTCCAGAGGAGGTACCAAATTCTGTTGAGAGAAATGGAGAGGGAGGAGTGGGAGAGCGAGGGATGGATCCTCCATCTCGGGAGATGGAAGGAGGCGGGTCATCAGGGCTTGCAAAATGCGCCCCTGTTGGGTCAGGGTGTCCAGAATGAGTTGTTGTTGCTTCTGCAATGTCGCAATTGTTTTCACAAACAAGTCGAGTTGGGCTGAGAGAAGGTTGATTTGCTTGGAGTGGCGATCCAGACGGAGAGTGATTGTTTCCATAGAACCAACTTGGTGTACCTGTGCATGAGCTGGAGGTGGCGGCGAGGATTGCCGAGGGCCCGACTGGGCATGTGGTGGTGGTAGCGACGGAGAGGGACGGTGAGGGTTCAGTTGAGTAAGAGGTGGTGGTGCTGGTGAGAGACAGCGGGGGTCCGGGTGGGCAGGAGATGGTGGTGACTGTGTGGCAGGGCCGGCAACGACCTTGTTCCAAGAACGGTAGGGAGAGGGAGGGAGGGGAGAAAGGATGGGTGGTAGGGGTGATGGAGGGGGTGGTAGAGGAGAGGAGATCAATGGGAAATCCTTGGTGGATGGAAGAGGCGGTGGTGGATAGGATTGAGGTTTGGTTGACAGGGGCTTCGTCAGAGACGAGGGCGGTGGTACAAGGTAAGTTTTCCCCGGGCGAGTGCCAGGACGCTGTGGGCAATTGGCATTCCAGGCGTGGTGACTGCCATGGCAATTGACGCACCGTGGAATAACTGGGATTTTGTTCTGAATTTTCGATTTGCATTCCACTGTGTCGTGAGGACCTGCACAGAAACCGCAGGCGACCATCCTCGTGCACTCCCAGGTGCGGTGTTTCCACGATTGGCAACGACCACAGATTTTCGGGGTTCCGATAAATCGGTCGAGAGGACAGTTGTGAATTGGTCCTACATTCACCTTCGGGGGGAGGGGGCCCACCCACCAGCCGATGAGTTCGTTGGATGGACGTTTGGAGACCGGGTTGATGCGGCGTTCCATGTCCAGTAGTTGTGGGAGAAGAGGGCGAAGATCGTCGATAGGGATCTCCCAGGGTACGTGGCGAACCATTACCTTGGTACGACGAGTTTCTGGGGTGATGATGGTGAACTTCAGCATCACCTCCCCCTGGGGAGCAGGAAAGCCCACCTGAGTGAGCAGGCGTACCGTCTCGTCCATTTGTGTGGTGACTATCACGGCTGTGGGACCTCGGCGGAGGCGAAGTGTTGAGTCCTGAAGTGGAGAGCAGTGACGGAAGAACCAGGTCGTCCGTGTGCTCAGAGGCAAGTCCCGAGGGAAGGCGAGACGACGAAGGCGCGACGGGGCAGGGAGACAAAGGGAATCCCCTATGTCCATCGTCGGCGGAGGGTCGGTCATTGAGCCACATGTAGGCTCACTTGGGGACCCCGATGACAGGAGTCCACCCTCTACAGCCCCAGAAGGGGTGCAAGGGGGAGCCGTGGCCCCTGCTGGAGACCCTGACTTCTGAGGTTTCTGCTTCTTCTTTGACGTGTCTTCAAGAAGAAAGTCGTCAGCATCACTGTCACCTACTGCCGCCGTTTCCAACGAACGGGAGCGTTTAACGGCGGGCATAGGGCACGTTGGCAACACTGCAGTCAGGTGGAGTGGTAATGACGTCACACTATCACACTGCGCATGCGCAAACTTGAAAAACTTTGCTCAGAGGGATCGGGTGGTAGGACCAGATGTTTTATCCCCAAAAAATGACAAAGTCCAAAAGTAACAAAAAAATATATGCCACTGTGCTGATATCTGGGTCTTACTATAGTTGTCTGCACAGGCTGGGATTGGTAGACGCTCTGAATTCGTCAGAAATACGAATTTTAAGGAGCAGTCTCTTACAGCCTTTGTTGACACTACGCACGCATGCGCGTTCTTCCATCAGCTATTTACTAATAAGTGAAAGGATGACAAGACCATTGGATGTTTACATAAGGAACTTGGCAAACTTGTGCCCCGTTTAGTTGATCATTAAGGCTGTTGTAAACAGAGCGCACAGCTGCCAACAAGTGTACAGTAGTAGATTGTTTTGCTGGCAAACTGAGGTACTGGGAAGAATATGGTCGCTTAGTTAAGATTTTACTGGTAATTAATATGACATTGATGGGAAAGTGAGTTTTCATTTGAGGTGACAGTGATAGTACTGGTGTAGTCAGTGACACTAGTGAATTTAAGTTTTAGTTTACTCAGATTATTTCATGATATTGGCAGTGTCAAGTCTCTCTTACTATCAGCATGTGAACGTGTGTGTGTGTCGCTTGATATAAACTCTCAAAATATTTTTACGGTATCGTGGTGCTCAGTTCCTATTCTCTGACACGAAAATCACTCAGGAATTCGTAACTTAATGGCAAAATTAATTTTGTTTACGTCAGGTGTATGCTGCATATTCTCTTAGCACGTACAGTATGTATTTCCAGACAATACCGCAACGTATTGAATACAAGGACTCGAGAAACTGTCAAGGTGTTGGAATTGTTTCTCAGTAAGTGATGATGGGTTGTGTTGTTTTGAAATGGGCGAACTGAAGGCCACAGGAGATGCAATGTACACAGTGGTGAATATGTTGTGTAAATTCAAAAGCTGTGTAACAGATATTACGGTATGGGTCAATCGCGGGGATGTACTGTACTTCCTCGGCAGCTACACGCTCACAACTCAAGCTTACCCAGGTGTCATTTCCTCTGGTGCAAAATGAGTCACGCGACATTTATTTTGTATATTCATTTTTGGCATCAATTGTGAACGGACTCACTTACCTAAGAGTATTAAGTTATTGTGTGTGTGTGTGTGTGTGTGTGTGTGTGTGTGTGAACCAACTTAATATGTTAGTTTAGTCTTGTCACCTGTAGTAAATCGTTCTTGAGTTGTGTATGTGTTGTTTTTCTTGGCTATATGGGGGTGTGTGTTGGTGTGCGAGGAAGGAGTTGATGGGAAGCACTTGAGTGCGCCAGACATGATAGTGGGTGATGAGTACAACGACACTGGGCGGTGGGAGAATCAACAAAGGCAACAATGGGGCCGATTGTTAGGGTTCAAGTTGGCAAGCTTCCCAGGTGTAGTCGAGGATCACGGTGCAGGTCAAGGTTACTGGGGCAAGACTGGCGGAAGGTTCTGCTATTATACAACCTGGTCCCTAGTGCTAACAGTCGTGCTTCATGGCTGAACACGAGGGAGATACGCTGCGACGCCCACGGGTCTACGGAATGAGGTACCTGCTCACTCACTCGCTCGCTCACTCACTCGACGATGGACTCAACGAGCTGCGTCCAACTGGCCACTTACCGTGACGGTTAACTAAACTTACTGACGTCCCAACCGCCTACACGTTCCCACCACCTACACGTCCCCACCACCTACACGTCCCCACCACCTACACGTCCCCACCACGTTCAAGTGCCCACCACGTTCAAGTCCCCACCACGTACACGTCCCCTCCACCTACATGTCTCCTCCACCTCACGTCCCCTCCACCTACACGTCCCCTCCACCTCACGTCCCCACCACGTCCCCTCCACCTACACTTCCCCTCCACGTCCTTCCACCTCCACGTCCCCTCCACCTACACGTCCCCTCCACTACGTCCTCCCTCCACGTCCTTCCAACGTCACCCCTCACGTCCTACCACGTCCTTCCACCTACACTTCCCCTCCACGTCCCTTCCACCTCCACCTACACGTCCCCTCCACTACTCCTGCTAATCACCCCTCCTTCATTTCCAGTTCACGTAGACGCTCTTTCATCTTACTGCCATTTACTTGTGTATCGCTGTTCCCTGTTTCCGGAACGGCATAAAACCTATTCACCGTTGGATGAAGTCTATTGATGTAATCGTGTTGCATCAGTTCTTCTATAGATTTAACCCACGTGGCGATTTCACTTCTTTAGGTGTCAAATTTATCAGGAACTATACCTCGTCCATGTTTTTCCTTCAAGGCTGTGAGAGCAATTTTATGCATTTTGTTTTTTATATACAGTTTACAGGAGTGCGCTAGTGAGACAGTGTTAGGGCTCACTGTTTATTGCCTGAGCCCTGAAGCCTGGTTGGGTAGTGGTTGTAGAGTTTTGTTAACTCCTCCGTAGTTGCTTACTTGTATTTTACTGCGTTTATAAAGTTCATATGTGTAAAAATGTGACTGAAGACACATTTTCTATCCATGTTTGACACTTAGCGGTTTACTCTTCTCGGGTTTGTTTTTTATATTATGAAATCACAACATTTCTTGAGGATGACTTGGTATATTTGGCTTCACGGTAACCTACTTATTTTGATGATGAGATTGGGAATGCGTATTTCATTTTTTTAGGGTATCTCTTTTGTCTCTTTAGTGTTACTGATGTTAGATAATTCATGGTGTTTTATTTACCAGTGGTTTTGTTCTTTACAGGTGCGCTTTGTGATGGACGGTGGTTGGTGTGGAGGTCGTGAGTAATTTACCTCAACAGCTAACATAAGTGGCACGTGGCTAAATGAGTGAAACTAGTGTACAAATGCTGTTAAAGGCTTCTGCTTATTTGTGTGTGTGTGTGTGTGTGTGTGTGTGTGTGTGTGTGTGTGTGTGTGTGTGTGTGTGTGTGTGTGTGTGTGTGTGTGTGTGTGTGTGTGTGTGTGTGTGTGTGTGTGTGTGTGTGTGTGTGTGTGTGTGTGTGTGTGTGTGTGTGTGTGTGTGTGTGTGTGTGTGTGTGTGTGTGTGTGTGTGTGTGTGTGTGTGTGTGTGTGTGTGTGTGTGTGTGTGTGTGTGTGTGTGTGTGTGTGTGTGTGTGTGTGTGTGTGTGTGTGTGTGTGTGTGTGTGTGTGTGTGTGTGTGTGTGTGTGTGTGTGTGTGTGTGTGTGTGTGTGTGTGTGTGTGTGTGTGTGTGTGTGTGTGTGTGTGTGTGTGTGTGTGTGTGTGTGTGTGTGTGTGTGTGTGTGTGTGTGTGTGTGTGTGTGTGTGTGTGTGTGTGTGTGTGTGTGTGTGTGTGTGTGTGTGTGTGTGTGTGTGTGTGTGTGTGTGTGTGTGTGTGTGTGTGTGTGTGTGTGTGTGTGTGTGTGTGTGTGTGTGTGTGTGTGTGTGTGTGTGTGTGTGTGTGTGTGTGTGTGTGTGTGTGTGTGTGTGTGTGTGTGTGTGTGTGTGTGTGTGTGTGTGTGATTATTTAAGCTTTACTTTATTGTTAGACTCTGCTGTGTTTGCATATCTTAGCACGATAAACGGGGAACAGCGAAAGGTCAGACTTACGGAAAATTAGGTGACAAAAAACTTACTCCTTTAATTTTACTGTTATGTTAAGACCTTTCTTATCTGCCACGTTAATTATTACAAACCTTATCTGACTAAATCTTATTGGACCATGAGAGGGGGGGGGTGTGTGGTATATTAAATCTATAGGCGTCTTGGCTTAGTGTGGATCAGTGCTGGTGTGTGTGTGTGTGTGTGTGTGTGTGTTGTGATTGGAGTAAATATCTGTGGATGTTTCAGATTGTTGCTTGAGTTCTCTTCTCTTACTCTGATTCACCGCACACACACACACACACACACACACACACACACACGTGCGCGAAAGTAGGAGAGTGGTGGTGCAGATGATAGATAACTCGCTAAACTACCTGTGGGAACAGTGGTATAGAGGAGTGAAGATAAGTGAGAGAGAAATAAAAATAAAAGAGGAAGAGGAGCAAAGATAAGTAGAAAAGTTGTGTAGATACAGAGGCAAATGTAAGTGGAAGAGAAGCCAAAAATAAATGGAAGAGAGGAGTGGAGATAGATTCAAGAGGTGTATAGATGGCTGCAGGTTATAAATCAGTGGAGGACGGGACCTGCTTGTTGCCAGCCGCTGGTGGTGTTGAGGGCTGCTGTGGCCGGGAGTTAGGCTCGTGGATGGGTTGGAAAAAATAATACGAAGGACGTGTATTTTAAATAACTATACCTTCCCTATAGTCTATTGTGTGAGAGTGATGAAGCGTGCGCGTGCTTAGGACATATTATTATTATTATTATTATTATTATTATTATTATTATTATTATTATTATTATTGCTGTTGTTGTTTTTATTAGTATTATTGTTGTTGTGGAGGAGTTACATGTGTTAGTTTCCACCCCTGACTTGAGCTTCCTCCGATAATGTCACGTTAATTTTTTTATAGTGCTGCTTAAGGTTAGGAATTACCTACTGTACACATGTTGTCTTCAGTTTACAAAAAAATTGGGTAGATATTTTGCTTTTTATTTTAGTCATGGGAAAAAAAATAGTTAGTTGATCTGGTTTTACGAAATATTTTTTACTAATGTTGTTACGGAAAAAAATAAAGTGGAGTAAATTGTAATCACTTGGTGGGTTCTGATACTTGAAATTAATCGATACGAAGTTAAGAAAGTTTTGGTTTGTTAATGGGATATACAGTAGATGGGAGGAGGATTTGATAAAAAAAAACTACAGTGGTTGTGTAAGGGCGTGTCTAGGCTATTTTTCTTCCTGTGTCAGAAAGGTGAGAGAAATATACCAGTTAGCTGTGTTTTGTGAAGAGGTTGGCAAGACATTTTAAGTTGCTTCAGGGTACAGTATGTTTGTTGTTGTTTATAAAATGTTGTTGCATCTTTTATTTAATGTCCATCATGGCTTAATGACTTTAATGTCTCCAGACTCGTTTTTGAAATATTTTGTTGATGTTAAATGTGGCTTAACCTCAGATCATCAGAAACTATACTGTGTTCATAGAATTGGGTTGCTTATGCTCTTATGCGAGAGAGCAGTTTGTATTGAGTTCATGCAAGTGTTTTTTTTTTGTTTTTTTTCCATTATATAATGAGGACGTTACACTACACACTAGTCTTCTATCACGAGGAAGTTCACGTCATTATTGATATTAGACGCTTTTGTTTAACTTTGTTTGTTTATGTCAAGTGACTCGAACTATTGGAAATTAAATGACGATTCAGACAAAATAATTCGTCCACTGTTGTCATTTTTCTGTACACTTTATATCCTAAACATCCCCAAGCTGGCTTTAACTGGTGATGTGCCACTTTGTCTACTACTACTACAAAAAAGTGGCCTCCATCCTCCCCCAATAGCCACACCTTCGCCGCCATTTTATTACCTTAAAAATAAATATCCTAATACATAAGTGGCGATCCTAGCTGTGTTAGTTAGTTGAGCTGCAGATCTATGCAGCATTCAGTGACTCTTGCCTCATAGTCAATATCTGCAACTTTTGTCGGCTTTGGAGCTGATGCTCTCGTTTCTCTCAGGCAGAGCAAAGCAGACCTAAGGAGAGAGAAGGACAGTTGACATCTCATTCAGGCTGCAACATAACTTCTGGGCTGCTGCTCCTGTTCGGATAGCACCTCCGCGAGTCTGGCGTAGAAGCATCTTGCACTTGGTCCCATCCCACCAGAAGTTGTGAACACCAGAGGAGTGAAGCTGCCTTGATCAACATTCTGAATTCTCTCCCTTATCTTGCTGTTCTCGTTCCTCCTGTGTGCCGCATTGAGAGCTAAGTTATGGTGACAAGCGGGCATGGGATAAAAAATCCTGATGTCAAAGAAGGCTCGCTGTCCCTGCGTCCAGAATCCTCGGGCACTGACGTCAACACTGGCTTCGTTGGATGTGTTTGAAGTCCTATGTTGGATATTCTCACCGTCCAATGGAAGGAGGGTCGGTTCTACCCTGACATCACGACAGATTTCCTTCAACATATTTGCTGTGAGATCCCTTGCTTTGTCATGCCTCATGCATATGAAGCCCCCTTTCTTGCACTCAATGGCGTGATCGATGTCATAGGAAGAGCCACACACGCATTGGGAGGGCAAACCTTCTACTGGCCTTCCGTACCTTAGAGCAAAGGCATCTGTAAATTATTGTTTATTGAGACTGAAACCATTTGCCCTTATCGGTAACATAGTTAACCAGTTCGAGGCGCCCACCTCCTGCGCTATAGCTACGTTTTTTTTTTCAAATTTTCTGGTACCTGCAGCAACAGTTGCTGCAACTTATCATTTTGGCAGTGCTGTTGATCTGTCGTAATGGACCTACGAATCTTATTTACTTCACTGGTAACCACTTCCCCTGTTGCATTCTGGGCTATTATGTGGTCCGTGAGGGCTGCCGTGAGCTTAAGTGAATTTTAATGTTCAGTGGCAGCAATCTCCTCTGGATTTGTTAGTCCCATCCCTCCCAGTCTTGATGGAAGTGCAAGAAGTGCTCTTTCTGCTGGGGTTAAGTCAGGGTGTTTCACTAATTTAGGAATGAAATTGACACTGATAACTTCTTCCAGAGGGTGGAGGAGGGGTCCGATATCAGGGATAGTACGCATCAGGTAGTTCCAAGATGCTTGACTCCATGGGTGAATGCAGCAAAGGCCGCATGTGGCTCTGTGTTAGCAATCTCAGACAGAGCTTGGATTTCACTAACCCACTCATTCACCTTTCCCGCTACGACTCGGTCTTGAAGTCCGCAGTGCCAATTACTGCGCCTAGATGTCTTTGGCCGTCCTTAGTTATTTTGACCTCACTTCCGCCAAAAACCCCCATTGCCCGTTCATAATGTTTTGGCTTCACGATGAGGAAGGATTTGCTGGCGTTTGGGTGGTACCCTACTGCTGCTGCTACTACTACTACTACAACAACTACTGTTATTCCAGTGAAGGGAAATTTTTTAACGCACATACGACCCAAGTGTTTAGTGCCACTTGCTGTGTGGAGACCCATGTGTTGCTGAGGTTCACTTTGTGGGTGTAGGTCCTTGTGTTTCTATGTTGAGGTCCTTGTGTTGCTGGGGGTCACTTCTTAGGAGGAGGTCCTTGCGTTGCTGGGGGTCACTTGTTGGGTGGAGGTCCTTGTGTTGCTGGGGGTCACTTGTTGGATGGAGGTCTTTGTGTTGCTGGGGGTCACTTGTTGGATGGAGGTCTTTGTGTTGCTGGGGGTCACTTTTTAGGAGGAAATCCTTGCGTTGCTGGGGGTCACTTGTTGGATGGAGGTCCTTGTGTTGCTGGTGGTTACTTGTTGGATGGAGGTCCTGGTGTTGCTGGTGGTTACTTGTTGGATGGAGGTCCTTGTTGCTGGGGGTCACTTGTTGGATGGAGGTCCTTGTGTTGCTGGTTGCTGTCACTTGTTGGATGGAGGTCCTTGCGTTGCTGGGGGTCACTTGTTGGGTGGAGGTCCTTGTGTTGCTGGGCTTCACTTGTTGGATGGAGGTCCTTGCGTTGCTGGTGGTCACTTGTTGGATGGAGGTCCTTGTGTTGCTGGGCTTCACTTGCTGGATGGAGGTCCTTGTGTTGCTGGGCTTCACTTGTTGGATGGAGGTCCTTGCGTTGCTGGTGGTCACTTGTTGGATGGAGGTCCTTGTGTTGCTGGGCTTCACTTGCTGGATGGAGGTCCTTGTGTTGCTGGGGGGTCACTTAAGGTCTTTGTGTTGTGGGGGTCACTTGTGATGTTTGCCCAGGGGTCCTT